GCTGCTCGAAGCACAGATTTTTATTCTGTTTTTGCAAATCTTTGTAGTTGTTATTGTCTCGTTTTGCACTTCTTTGTGATTGTTTTGCATCGTTTTTGTCATCCTTTGTCTGTTTGTGATTGTTTTGTGTGTCATTGTAGCCATTTTCGTCTCTTTGTGATTGTTTTACACAGTGTTTTGTGTTTTTTACTCTCGTTTTGGCCTTCATGCCTCTCTATGGTTGTTTTGTCACTTTGAGGCCCTTTTGCATCTTTTTGTGTTAATTTTGTGCTTTTTTTGTGTCTCTGTGATCATTTTGCGTCTTATTTTGCACCTGTTTGTGGTTGTTTTGAGTTGCTTTGTGGTCATTTTGTGCCGAGGAGTGCATATTTAGTGATTTATTTTTTACAGCAACTGGTGCTGATGGGGGCTGCAGGGTGGCGCAGTTGGTAGCACTGTTGCCTCGCAGCAAGAAGGTTGCTGGTTCGCGTCCCGGTTGGGGCACCGGAATCTTTCTGCGTGGAGTTTACATGTTCTCCCTGTGCAGAAAAACATGTTGAGGTTAATTGGTGATTCTAAATTGTCCGTAGGTGTGAATGTGAGTGTGCTTGGTTGTCTGTCTCTAAGTGTAGCCCTGTGGTAGACTGCCGACCTGTCCAGGGTGTCCCCTGCCTTCACCCTAAGTCGGCTGGGATAGACTCCAGCCCCCCCGCGACCCTAATGAGGATTAAGTGGTGTATAGATAATGGATGGATGGGATGGTGCTGATGGTTTGGTTTCTGGTGAATCTTTAAAATGGCAAACGCCGTATCTAGTGGTTACCTCAAATACAACCCTCTTCATATGTGACAGTAAAGAAAATTCGTTTTAGTTTGGGATTGTGGGGAACATACCAGTTCCTTTGCTTCCTTTACATTTTAAAGATTGAGACAACAATCGGCAGATTAACTGATGATGAAAAGAACTGGGACGTGCAGCCGAGCTGTTGGTGAGCAGCTCCTGTTTGCAGCGTATCAGGGAAGTACAGGCGACTGTCACTAGATCACTGTCATATAAAGGAAACTTGAGAGCAGGCAGAGTTTTTCTCTGGTTTCTAACTGCGTTCCTGGAAGTTTATTGTGATGAACATCAGAACTAATGACATCCTGAAGATGAAGCCTCTTCTGCCTCCAGAACAAGGAGCTTCATCCTTAGTGTCCTGACATGTTCACCTGCTCAAACTACTCGGCCGAAACAAGTAATAACAAGTAAATCGCAACAATTCAAACAGTCAGAGGATACGTCCTGAGTCTTGGTTACTGGTTATTGGTTGATTGCGAAGGGTTTTGTTGGATTTATTCATCTTTAGAGGCTTTAGAGGCGTTTTGGGGGATTTGACTTCTGATCTGACTGAAAAAGACTCTGTGTAATGGTTAGATCTCGTGCGAACGTGCCCTCAGGTGTGTTTGTGATTTGATTATTTTATTATCTGACGCCACAAGAGTCCTTTCATTGTTTGGGGAAGTTGTTTTGTGTGCAGGTCATTTATTAAACTTACTTCCCCAACTTCATTCACCTGAACAACAAAACAGCTTGTCACGGTGAGAACAGAGGCACACTCAGCTCAAGTCCAGTGTTACACCTGTTTTGCTGGTTGAAAGTTGGCATTTGGGGAACTTAAAGAGTAGAAGTTCTCTCAAAATGATATTAACAAATGCCGTTTACTCAGCTAGCTTTGTGGCGTTAGTGTCCACCTGTTTTCAATTGGTGCAAACAAAAATCTCAAAATACCGGAAAAGAAATAGAGGAAACCATCAGCTGTGTGGAACTTCCCCAGAAATTTCATATTTCCAACAAGTTCTCCACTTCCTTTTTCTCCGTTTAAGTGTCTCCAAACCATCTTCTTCTGCAGTGTTCACACTCACAGCATTAAGTGATGTTTTCGGTAAATTTGCTTAAAATTCGAGCTTCATTTGGACGGAAACTTGGTTAAGGTTGGTTGGAACTGAAGCAAATGTTATATGCGACAGAAAATTATTTAATATACAGCCTGACTGTAATACATATTAAAGCAAAGTTTTCAAACAGTAAAGTCACAATGGATGACACACATTTAATACTAGTAAAAGAAAACCTCAGATTTGTGTAGCGTCACATAAGGAATGAGCAGTTATAAATTAAAGCTGTTTGAAACTTGATAATTTGTAAAGAAAGTTTAGATCTAATTCTTAAAACGAGGCAACAAGGTGTCGAAACTTTGCTCTTTATTTATGGACTTTGTATTCAGGTAATTATCGCAGGCGTTGATCCACAACAACGACTCATCTGACAACATTGAAGGTATTCGCAGTGGCTTTTTTTTTTTGCTTGTTTTGGCTCGTCTGGTAGTTAAATCAGCTTCAAAATCCAGGATTAATTCACGGTGCATCCTTGCATTAGCAATTAGCTCAAAGCGCCGCTGCTAGTTGAAGACGAAGAAGTTGGAATGAACCACAGCAGGCAGATGTACTGTATGAAACATGTTTTAAATGTAATGTCACATTTAAATAAAAATACAGTAAATTAGATCCAAAAACAATCACCTTTTCAATCATGTTTGGAAATGGAGGAGCTGCACAGGCTTCAGACGATTAGCTTTGCTAGCAGCGCGGCTAACGGCACAAACCCTGTGGAGTTGTGAAGTGTGAGGAGCGAGTAATTCTAAGTGCTTCAGGCTGCTGGACTTGTCTTTTTGGCTCTTGAATGTGTTTCAGCGTCATCCAAGAAGCTCCTTCAGTTCTAACTGACTGGCGGGGAGTCCCAGAGGTTTATTTTTCCCCCAAAGTTGTGGCTAATGGCCTGTTGGAGACCGGACACTCTGAAACTGTCACTGTGGAGGGATGTCAGGACTGCATTATAAGTACCTGAGGAGTGATATCGAAGACCTCCTTGTCTGTTTAGAGAGGCCTGTTCCATCCAAAAACAGTCCAGCTGTCTTGCACGAAGGATTACAACAACCTGGTTGACTGAAAATCTCCACAGACGCCTGGTTCACCACATTTTATTTCAGATAAGATCCAGTTTTCCTCATGCTGGCAGTTAACACCAATGTTTCCTGCTGAAGTTGTTGTTGGTATCTTCAGCTTTGTACCTATCAAAGAACCAGACGCGTGTTTTTTATTGCAGCTGTTGATCTTTTGTGTTGGGGAAGTTCAGCTCCAGGTGATCACAAACATTTTGTCTGGATGAAGCCACTGGATGTTTGTACTCGTCTCACTTCACAACTTTTGACAAAGTTTCTGTTTACATTCAGGCTTTCTCAACCAAACTCCGCACGAACATCTTTGGATTCTTTTTTTATCAAACATTTGCAAAGTCAATGTTTAAGACTTCTTCTTCTTTTTGATTTCTCCTCAATGACCAAACTGAGCTCATTAAAGATGGCGTTTCCTTTTTTTTAAAAGAAAAAAACAAAACTGACTTCTTATTACTTTATTTTATAGATGAAATGCAGAACAGGAATTTGCAGTCTGGGGATGCAATGAAATTAAATTGTTTACATGACTTTTAATTATTATTTTTTTAAAAACAGTTCAGAAAACTAAAAATTTTAAACTCAGAGTTGTGACATTTTTCCTCAGGATTCCAATTTAAACTTAGAAATTCTCATTTCTCTGAATTCCAGTTTTAATTTAAGAATTTCCCACAAATTCTGATTTTAAACTCAGAATTCAGAATTTTTTTTTTTTTTACCTTAAAAATTCTAATTTAAACTCAGCATTCTGACTTCAAACTCAGAAATCTTTTATCTCAGGATTGTCATTTTAAATTCAGTTCACAACGTTCTGATTTTAAATGTAGAATTTTGAGTATTAAGTCAGAATTCTACATTTAAAATCAGAATGTTGTGGAAAAAACAGCTGGAGTTCAGAATTCTGGCATTTTTCTCAGAAATCCAATTTAAAGTCAGAATCTGAAAACTGAGAATTCTCACATTTTTCTCTGAATCCCAACTTTAAATTCAAAGTTTAAACTCAGAATCCTGATTTTAATTCAGATTTTTTTGTCTCTCTCTCGAAACTCTCGTTTTGAATCGAAAAGTTCAAACTTTCAGTGTCTCGAAGCCTCTTCCCGTTGATTTGTCTCTGATTTTAAGAAAATGATCTTGTTGTGTTGAGTTTAAGACTTGAATTTCTAGAAAGAGTTAGCTAGTTTTAACTCTCTCTACCTACTTTCAGTGCATTTTAAAGGGTTTCATGAGCTTCAGGAGCAGCATTTGATGTCTGAAAGCTGCTGAACCTGTACATGTAAACGCTCTCTGTGCAGTTAAGCAAAATTCTCAGTATCGTGTACGAACAGCTATCACCAGATCACTGTGACACTGAAGGAAACTTACAAACAGATTCTCAGGCAGTTTTTCTTTGTGTGACAGGATGTGATCAGCCTGGTTTTTCTAGAAGTAAAAGTAAGAGAGGTAAAAAATGATTTGGGTTATTGCATCTCTGATCTGCTTGAAACGTTTCGACCGTAAATGTTGGATTTTTCTAAAGATATTTCTTAAATTTCGGATTGATATATCAAATACTTTGTGAGACAGATTATTTTTCAAATGTCAACCAACCTTCAGCTCGTTTTTTTGAAATTTGAAGGTACATTTGAACCACAATATCTCAGGAACAATGAAAGATAAAAGCCTGAAATTTTCAGTGTAATTTCCCATAATGCCGTTGGTTTTCTTCGGTAAAAACAGGTAAAACTATTCTATATGTTTTGTTTTGTATTATTGTAACGCGCAGCTACACCTGGTTCAGAATATATCACTAGCTGACGTCTGCATTGTCAGTTTTTTTGTTAACTTGAGCTCAAAGATGAGGCTTTGTGTGACAGCGTCATTGTTTTTTTTACATTTAAACTCACCCATAATCAAGGATTATTTCATCTACTTGTCTATTATTGCAGATTCTGAAACAATAACATTATGCGAAATACCAATAAAACATCAGGCCATTACCTCTAATAGTTGCTGAGATATTGTTGTTTAAACAGCCTCAAAACAACAACAAAAATAAAAACGGCTGAATGTGGGTTGACTGTAAATTTAAAAAAAGAAATCGGCGTAAAATTTTACAGCTATCTTTAGAAATATTTTAGTTCTATAAAAATTTCAGGTGAGTCAGGAAATGATTGAAACAAAAAGCGATGGTTTGAGATGGAACGATGTGGTGTTTCAGCGATAAGAAGAAAAGTGGGAAGAGCAACAAATCAGCACTTCAATCTGCAGAAATCTTTGTAAAATCTGACGGCGAACTGAACTTGAACTTGGAAGAAAAACCATCTCAGTGTTCAGGTACGACCTTTCACGGCGAAGACTTTGTTTAGCAGAGGCTGTTTCTGGTTTTAATTTAATTTCCGTGCAGGTTTGGGAAGTTGGAAAGATTATCTGCAAATCATTGATCTGAAGTCAGACCTGCAGTCACGAAGGCATCCTGCTCATCCTGTTGCGGACTTCCTGTAAGATGAACAGTTGACAAGTTTTCAGCTCCTCCTCGATTCAAATCTTCCATCTTTTAATTACAAGATAAAAATCTAACCAAACATTAAAAAAAAAAAAAAAAGACGCATGTTTAACGAGAATTCTCCGACCAGTCTCTCGGCAGTCCTACAGCAGGACGCAGGGCCTCTTGCTGACGGTGGGCTGCGGGTTGAGGAAGGCCCTCACGGCTTCGATGAACACGTCCTTTATGCCGTCCTGGTTGAGGGCCGAGCACTCCAGGTAGCGCACGGCTTGGATCTGGCGGGCGAGAGCGACGCCCTGCTGGTGGGTGACGGGCGTCTGGTTCTGCTCCTTCAGCTTCCTCTGAGTCTCGCCGTCGCTCCGGAGGTCGCTCTTCGTGCCGACCAGGAGGATGGGAACGCCGGGACAGTGGTGGAACACCTGGTGTCAGGAAATGGAGGGGAAAAGACTTTAAGAACGTAAAAACACAAAAATGAGACCGAAATGATTTCTCTTTTTTTGTGTGTTTTCAGCGGAAGCCCAAATGGTAAATCGTGTTTCTGTCACTTTTATTCTGAAAAGCAGAGGACGATGCTGTGAATAACATTTTCCACAACATCTGATACGATGAGATTTTCATGTTTTTTCCTGGTATACTCTTCTACGACATTTTATAAAACATTTTTCACAACATACCATTACGACATAATATTCTGTGACATTTTTTGCAACATACAATACTATGAGATTTTATAAGACATATGACTTTATGATGACTTGTTTTGCAGCGTTAACATGTATTTTAGCGTTAAGATGTCTTTTAGAGCAGTAAGACGTATTTTTAAGCGCTAAGGCGTATATTCGAACGTTAAGACCTCTTTTAAAGCGTTAAGATGTTTTTTGGAGTGTAAAGGCGTTCTTTAAAGGATATTTTAGAGAATAAAGACATATTTTAGAGCGTTAAAACGTATTTCACAGTGGTCAGACATCTTTTAAAGTGTTACCACGTATGCTCTATAGAATATATCTTTTCTATATGTGTCGCTTGTCAAAATGACAACAGGCACGAGACACACCCGTGACTTACACTGCAAAAATGTAAAAATGAAACACAATAATTTGTATTGTTCTGTTTAATGGAAACAGAGTGGTGTATCACAACACACACAAAAATAAAAATTTTAGTCATTTATTAATTTTGGAACCCTGTCATGTGATAGACTGGTGACCTGTCCAGGTGAACCTGCCTTCACCTGAAGTCAGCTGGGATAGACTCCAGCCCCCCGTGACCCTAGTGAGGATTAATGGTGTATTGATAATGGATGGATCGATTAATTTTGGAAAATATGGTCAGTGTAATATATATTTATCATGAAAATACCGTTTGGTTCGCCACCATAACTGGCACTTATCTGTTTTAATAGAGCGACAGCAGTAATTAATAGCGCAGAGACTCGAGTACGCTAAATATACGTCACTGTGTTCACTATTACTGGATAGTACTTCTAGACAGGGAGCAGTGAATGAGTGGAGGATTTGGACAGAAGGCTCTGGTGGTGGCCAGATGTTGACCTCTGACCTCTGGGTGCCACTTGTGTTTGACGTTCTCGTAGGAGGCGGGGCTTGAGATGGAGAAGCAGATGACGAAGACGTTGGTCTGCGGGTAGGACAGCGTCCTCAGCCGGTCGTACTCCTCCTGACCCGCCGTGTCCCACAGGTTCAGGCTGATGATCCGGCCGTCCACCGTCACCTGAACATGGTA